ATAAGCAGTCATTGCTCAAATCATGTGGTCAGGGATCATCATCGGACAAATGTAGATTAATGTCGCGGCGTTTTCAATTAATTAATTAAAGCAATTCAGTTCAATATGATGTTTTCATAAATAATAAATATAATGTACGTAACAAGATTTATAAGTTCTTCATCAAGATATATTTCAGTTGTACCAACGTGTACACCTATACCGGAAGTGGGTGTAACACGTCATAATCTCGGTCTCGTCTGTCTCGCGAGAGTTAGAGAACGCCAAAATGGCGGCGCCCATGAACTTATTTCTCAAGTAAAAGATAGTGTCTTAAAACACGAATTTCTCAGTTATACGGTTGATGTCAACAGATAAACTGTCATGGTACCTCTTTTTACATGATAAATATTTATATTAGACGGACATCAATCTATCCATTCCTATTCCTTTAACATGGATATGTAACATTGGGGATAAACTAGGAGCATAACTTAGAATATCCTTTGACATTACTAAGATGTAACGAACCGTTTTCCAAAGTATGTTCATCTTCGTGAATTAAATGCCCTTTATTCATTATCACTGTATGTTTAACAATGATTTATCTAATTTCGAGCCATTCTGTGTTTTCCTGATGTCTTTATTATAATTTTAGATTCGTTTACAGTTTTATTAATGAATACAATCAGTAATAAGGAAGTAAAATTTACGACACATGTGATCAACAAACATTCAGATTTGTAAAATTCATAATGAGCATCATCTCCGTACTCACCCCTTCTTTCCGTATTCCTATTTCAGTTCGTGGTCCTCCTGGGTATCTCATCGGTCCTGTAAGGCTTGGTTTTATTAGGGGCCGCGTGTAGTGAATGTCGTTCTCCCTCATCTATCTCGCCTAAAAGTCTCACATTTAGTTGAGCCTCTTTAGATACTGAAACCGGTGATCAAGAATACCAAGAATATTATTTCAAATATGTTGCATTATGACGTTTGCCTTTTATTTTAAAATTTTAATAATAATTCAATACCAAATAAGGCCTTAGTGCATGGGATCAGACTTCAACCCCTACCTTGTATCAGATAACATTGTACGTACAAGTGAAGTACATGTACCTTTCCTATTCATTAATTTATTTTGAAATAATTTCCCCCATGGATTTAAAAAGCCCATTTACAATTAAGGTTTAATAAAGTACAGATTGCAGACATATACACGGAAATACATATCGCCGGTTACATTCAAAAACAAAAATTTAGACTTGTCTATCAAAATTTGGATGATTTAAAATAAATTTTGCGTCTTGACAAAAATATAATGAGGATAATTCCTGGTATTCCATCGAGCGTTTCGGTGTATAGCTGGAAATGCGAAACAAGAAACAACAGCGGAATTATAGAACCAAATTCATTTCGAGAATAACTTGGTCTTTTACATTTTTCAGTCTGAAATGTTGATTGATACAAAAAGTATTGTAAATTGAAATTTTTGAATTAATGTGAACATTAAATCAGGAATTTCTTACATAGATAAGCTGGGGCACTTTATCCAGAAATATATGCAAAGATCGTTATGAAATATACTTTTTAAATAAATTGAAAACGGCTATTTTTATGCTTTTCTTAGCCCGATTTGAGTGAAAAGCGTTCAAACGCTTTTCTTTTTGGGTCATTTTTTACAATTTCAAAAATTATTCTGGAAAAAACGAAGTGCGCGAATGATCTGAAATTTTGCATAAAGATTAGTGGTCTAAACCTACATGGTGCATTCATCTGGAATTTGTTTTACAGTCCCAGCTAAACAAATATCCTCAGTGGAGTCCCTTTAAATTAGAAAGTATAACACATTTTATAAAACCGCAAGTTTGTAACGTCATTAAATAATCGTAACGTTTTTATTACATGCTTTGCAGTGGAATGTTTATTTGATAATTTTGACTGTAGCCGACTATATTTTAATGCGGATGAAAATAATATTTCATAACTAAAAGGAATTATCAACAGGTATAAATTCTGTCGTATGTAAATAATGCTTCTTTAGGAGAAGCAAGTAAATAACTGCATACATTGTGGTAAAAATGTAACAGAATTCAAGACAATGTACAGACCTAATTTTCAATATTGGTACGGTGACATCATAATGTGATGACGTCATGAAGAAATATGCATGATGTTACGCGACAAAACAAGTAAAAATGACTTAAAATCAGTAAAAAGCATGAAACAAATAGAAAATGTGTTTGTTTCTAATACTCGTATGAAAGTAAAGACAAACCGTTTGCATTAAAGGACTGTTGCGAGTTTGAAGACCACATTCTAAACGACAATTTAATATCTTATAACTAATCAGATACATATGAAAATGAATTATTTCTTCATTATGAACAAAAATTAATTGAAAGGATATATTTACAAAATTTTCGTTGTACCACATGATGCATTATGTTTTCAATGCGATATATAAAATGACAAGTTAGTCGATGAATTTGATTGCTTTATTTATACAAATTTAAACTTTTATGCTGTTGATTTTACATATTTCATAGACTTAGTTGTATTTTAAAATCTATAAATATTTTTATATGACTCAGTTATTGTATGTATGAAACAATTTTGATAATATCTACCATAAAAACTGATAACTGATATGTATATATGTTGATCATTATTTTTGAACGTGACAGAAACATTGACGGTCGTGAAAATTAAGCAAAATTAAAATCAATCGCATCTACTTTAGTTACAATTGTTTTCAAAATTATAATACGCACATTGGTTATTGTCCCCCGCCTTTTCGAGAAAAAAAGGGGGATATAGAAATAGGCTCAGTCCGTCTGTCCGTCCGTCTGTCCGTCCGCACTCACAGGACAGTAATTATGTGGCTAGAGGGACAATAGGTAACTGTTCTTTCTCTTTGATGTCATTCATTCCGTAATGCTTTTATGTGGCTGTTTTCTTTTGTGTGGCTAAAAAGAACAATAGAGAGAACAATAGAGTAGCCACATTATTACTCTCCTGTTAGAACGTCCGTGTATCCGTCCGTCACACTTTCGTGTCCGGTCCATAACTTTGTCATTTATGAAAGGAATTTGAAATAACTTGGTACAAATGTTTATTATAATAATACGATGTGTCATGCGCAACAACCAGACCCCTACCTCCAGGGTCAAGGTCACACTTGCTCATTCAAGGTCAACATTGCCTATTTGAGGGTATATGTCGTGTCCGGTCCATAACTTTCTTATCTATGAGGGGATTTTGTAAATACTTGCCATAATTGTTCACAATAATCAGATGATGTGTCATGCGCAAATACCGGTCACCTACCTCCAAGGTCAAGGTCACTTGGAGGTCAAATACTTACATAGTCTGTTACAGGGTATATTTTGTGTCAGGTCTATAACTTTTTCATAGATCAAAGGATTTTGAAAATACTTCGCACAAATAGTCACTATAATAAGAGGATGTGTCATGCGCAACACCTGCAAGGTCAAGGTCACACTTAGAAGTCAAAAATTAACATAGTCTGTTATAGGGTATATTTTGTGTCGAATCTAGAACTTCTTCACAGTTCAAGGGATTTTGGAATAACTTGGCACAAATAGTCACAATAATAAGCCGATATGTCAGGTACAACACCTGCACCCCTACCTCTTAAGGTCAAGGTCACACTTAGAGGTCAAAGGTTAACAGAGTCTGTTATTTGGTATATTTTTTGTCCCGTCCATTACTTCTTCATAGATTAAGGGATTTTGAAAATACTTGGCACAAATAGTCACAATGATTAGATGATATGTCATGCGTAACATCTGTGTCCCTACCTCCAAGGTCACACTTAGAGGTCAAAGATTTACATAGTCTGTTATAGGGTATATTTTGTGTCCAATCTATAACTTCTTCATAGTTCAAGGGATTTTGAAAATACTTGGCACAGTCTCAATAATAAGACGTTATGTCATGCACAACACCTGCTCCCCTACATCCAAGGTCAAGGTCACACTTAGAGGTCAAAGCTTAACATGATAGATTTTTAAATTCCATGTTTCATTTTGTTTTTTTAAGAAATTTATTGTTACATTTGCAGATCTAGCATTGATCATAATTTTGGACTGAATGTCCTGAGATCCATACCTCAATCTTTTGAAATAGCACAATTTTATGCTTCATATAAAACTCCCGGGACAGGGGACGTTGGTAACTCTGTTACAAATTCTTGTTGACTTGAATGTGTAAATGTGCATTTTAATCCAATGAGGTTATTGGAACTATTACAGTTATTACCTTACATGCTTATTTTTTTACTATGGTTGGTTTAAAACAGACGAACACATAGTGTAGTTGAATCATTTTTTATTTTATCACAAAAGTATATATTATTTCGAGGTTATGTCAGCATAATTAAGAGACTTCTGCTTTTGATATAATGATAGGATTAGCCTTAGACGAGTAAATTAATTAAATACGTACATTTTAGAAAAGAAATAACAAAATTGTTTATTTGATTTGTGTCAACATTTAAAATATTGGATCGTTACAAATAAAGGGAAATAATTCATGAAGGACAGTTACTATATATCATTTATATCGATATCTTTCTCATAAATACATATAATTTTTTATATGTTATTAAAGGAAATATTATAAAAAGCATTGAAGGATTACGAACATTTGTTATCTACAGATTTCAAATATGAATTAAATCAATCAAAAATAACATAAACAAACAGGAAGAAAAACATATTTCTTTATTGCTTGCTTTAAACATCAAAAAAGAATTTTTTGTTGTCCATTTACACATGTAATAATTTCTAAGGCTTGTAAATAGTCCTTAAAGTAAGGAAAGCGGTACAACTATTAAATAGGGTGTATGTTTATTGTTTGTAACACATATGTCCATGTACAATGTTTTATTGAAGGTATTTATATCAAATCCACATCGAATCTTCAAATATCCTTTATACACAGTGAGTTTTCTTCTTCAAAGACATCAGCATGTTGTACAAGATGTTTCACGGTAAAACCTTAAGTTGAATGTCCACATATTTTCCGCATCCAGCAGTATCTCTATCTGAAAATATTGATTATTTGCTCTAAGACTTATAAAAACCTTAAGAATAATTATCAATATCATTACGAAAAAAATATCAATCATAAGACATAGAAAAAATGAAAGTTATTTCATTTCATTATGCAGTCTATAAAAAAATCCATACGAATTTCGTTGTCTTAATGCAAGTTCCCCTTTCTGTAGGTGAGAAAAAGGAAACAATGCAATAACAACAAACCACTGAAGAATATATTCAGAATTCATAAATATACAAAAACTAGCCATTGACTGGCGTAACATCATGTATGTATTCATAAATTCTTTAGTTACATCTTTATTGAAAGCTAGGTGAAAATGGATAGTGCAAAAGCAGAAATGTTAACATAAAAATAACGGAATTATTGTTACCTCCCGATCCATGGATGCTTGCTGAGTCGTACATGTGATCATCAGCTTCAAGTATATTCAAAATGTAATTTAATATTTATGATCCTTTTTATAGAAACATAACTTTCTTCTGGAAATTCAAAAGTAAATTAACTTTTTAAAAGTTAAAGTGTACCGAGTAATAACATTCGAAAATTCTGAAACCATTTCAAAACAAAATATTGTTTATATTCTAATTATCACCATTTAACAGTCTTAAATATATATAAATATAAAAAGGATCATATAATAATATGTTATTTTCGGACCAAATATCCATTGCTGTACTTTAGTTAGGATTTCGTGCATATGCCAAACACATTGTCGGAATTTAACAAACATTCTTCTATAAAATTAGGTGCTTTCATTTGATGTTCATACATTTTAAACAATAATTGTAAATGTACCAGTAAGGCTTTATGTTCTAGATATCTTATTATTCTTTATACATGTATAATTGTTGCTTTTATTGGAATGGAAAGTTTTTTGTTTGAAAATATTTGACATAAGGGTATATACTTAATAAATAATGATATTGAACTATAAAGCAATAATTGTCTTACAACGTTGCGTTCCATCCAGTGCCTCGTATGTTACGTTTTCGTTTTCTACAATGCCATCTGAAAGGTTATTTATATCAATATATATATTAATGTACATTCTAAGAATAACTGTCAACATGCATGTGAACAAATTGACTTTAGTATTGGTTCAAATCAAAAATGACCAGCATAGTTTTGGCCCTTATGTATTACTGACCGATTGAATATAGAATTACATAAGTCTGGGCTAGTAATCCTTTATAGAATAGTTGTCAGCATATTAACTCACGCAAGAATATCTGCATGTGGGTTATAACCTAAGGGCACCAACCTGTTACAATGCAAATTAACTTGAATCAGAGATAGACCGCTTTTTAACCTAAAAAAGCTCATTTTAAAAAGTATTAAGGCTATCTAGAACCAACACACTTTCTAAGAATATGTGTAATCATGCGAATTAAGGAATCTTTTTTCTAGACCCATTTTTAGTTTCTTTATCGAATTTCTGATTTAATAATTTCAATATGTTACACTGATTTTCTTAACGTCAATTTTAACTGTATTGCAATAGAAAAATTCCATTAGCAAATGTCAAATTATCACGAAATTTTCATTTGAATGCGTCTTGATTCGACTTAATGCATCAATTCGTTATGAAAAGAACTATTCATACGTACGACTATTTGAGATATTTTGCATTTCGGTTATAGCGCTTGGTTCCATAGTTTTCTCGTTTCTCCTGAAATTCAAATATTATATACACCTGTTTAGAACAAATTACGAAAATGTTAAGTCATTATAAAAGAAAACGTGTAACAAAACTGAAATGTGAGTTCTAGACCGGTGATAAAGATAACTGTATAGAGGATATGCTTTTTTTGTGTAAAGATTCTTAACATATTGCGCTGAGACGTGAAAAATATGTGTTTATTTCTAATTTGATGTGAGATATAAAGAATATTTACGTAAAATTCTATACTATATCCCTATTCAGTAAAAAGCAGGAATTGTCGACACTTTTCATTGAAGCGCGGGAAACAGAGGCAAGTAAGAATATGACGTCATTCGTTTAATGACTACGCAAATAGGTGTAAATAAAATTTAATGTAACTCATAATTATTTGATTGGTGTAATACTATTTGAATCGAGAAATATACAAACAAAACAAATGTCTATCATGTGAATTTCCGATTTTTTTTAATTAATACACATGGAAACACCGACAAATCAATACCACACTCACTGTGAGTGATAAGCTATGACTGATGTTGAGTTTATTTCTTGGATAAAACTATGTATTTCGTTTGTAAGTATTAAATAAAACAGTTTTACCTTTTTGCTGTGAAGCGTTTCTCTAGAACCATCTTCGATATCGACACACATAATGCAACGGTTGTAATAGCAAAAAGAGTTGCAAACACTGCAATTAAAGTGTCCTTTGAACCATTTTGGTCATCAACGTTAGCTTTTTCTAAAATGAATTGAAAGTTGTATATTATAAATTCTTTAAATAGATTCATGATTTCATTAGTCTGTTTCTCCCTTCTAATTATTTATCATAATTATATTCATATTTTTTGTAAATAAAAATCACAATGAATATTATGCAAAAATTGTTATTCTTTTATAATTCTTTGCAACTACATCTTATTTGACAAGCTTTATTTTCTGCAAGCAAACCAGCAAAAAAGCTTTTTATAAAACACACATAATAGAGAATATAGGATTACAAATATTCTAACATTGACCAATTAATTAGAAATTGGTATTCTTGAATTGTGTTGCGTAAAATATATTTGGACAAAGGGCAAGGTCGAAATTCTGGAAAAAGAGCCCCAATTTGACAAATATTTCCTCTATTATTTTTTCAATATATATGCATGGATTTTCTTCAAACTAAGTGCATAAACCGCTACACTCATCCTTGAATTAACGCTCCCCGTGGGGCTCGAACCTTCGACCTCCCGATCCGAAGGCGGACGCCTTAACCACTAAACCAACGGTACCGGTTATATATTTCATATAAAGCAGCTCTACTGTGTAGGGGTTATTCACTGTATTTGAAAGAATATGTCCATTTTAAAAAAGATATCCACGTAAACCGGATCTAAATCTGTGCTATTTCCACCAAAACACTTTCCAATAGTCGCTTGGGTAACACAACCTAATACACCCTCCAAGATAAAAAAAATATTTTAGAAGCTTAGGAAACATCAAATCAAGTTCTTAGATGAGAGCTAATTTCGTTTTCATTAAGGCAGAAAAGTTGTATAAATCTGCAGGCTTGGATCTAAAAATATAACACTTTGCATTATTTTGAACAGTTATCATTCATTCCTTCCGTGAAAAATAGATATGCCAGTTTAAGTTCTTCAGTTTCAAGGAATAAGATAATCAGAATGATTTCGTAAATATTTCATATCAAAATAATTTATTAAAAAGCTTCATCTATAAATAACAAATACATTTTAGATACTCGGTAAATGATGAATGTGTGCGATCTCAAGAGACCATTCCATGTAAGCTACTAGTATTGATGTCAGGTTTGATAGCTTGGTCATGACCAGATATGACTTAAAACTAAACGCTCCCTGTGTACCTTCAAAAGGTAATATAAATCTAACATTTTCTTAATAAACTTTTTTAATGGTTGTGTACATAAATAATACATAATCTATTAAAAACTTTAGAAAAGGTCACTATACAACAATTATCTCTAGAGTACTCATCCTGACTACAGACACCAGAATCTTTATTGCAGGAAACATCCACAAAGTTTTTCATCAGTTTGGCTTACAATTGTTGCTAAAACTGTCTTATTTACATTTGATTGTTCACAATTTTCGATTGTAGTAGTATTTTAAAATATAAAAAGTATATATAAAAATATATAATTGATATGTTTTAATTTCCATTCATTTTTAATTCAACGAAGGAAATATTGTGTTGCCTTGGTTTGACACAAAGAAATATCATAACTACTATTCTATTATGTATTTAACATGCGATATAAATAAGGAACAAATCACCAATTTTAGTTTTGGTAAAATATGAGTACTTACCTTTACTTTCAGCACAAATTGGATTATCTAAAACAGCTATACATCCTTCTGTGCATAAACCAGTAATACTTTTACAAACATTGTTTATACAAAGATCGCTGCATGTCTTACTACAGGTTTGACCAAAGTACCCAGATACACATTCACGACAAGCTGTGTTATTTTTGCAAAATAAACAGTTATGACTGTTTATACAACACATATCTCCAGAGTATCCATTCTTACATCCCTGGTTACACTTCCCAGAATCTTTGTTGCAGGAAACATTCATACAATTTGAGGAACAGTTCAGTTTACAATTTGAGCCATAAAAGCCATGTTTACAAATATCACACATCATTCCCTCAAAATTTTCAACACATTCATAGCAGTGCCCAGATTGTTTCTTACATTTGTTGTCTTTACAAGTATCTGGACAATCACTTTTGCATTCCTCTCCATATTTACCTTGAATGCACTCAAAACAGAAAGGTCCTTTGAAACCATCTTTACATCCCTCAGAACATGTACCATTCTCTTTGTCACACTTTTTATTTAAACAAGTTTTCGTGCAATTTTTCTCACAATATAGGTCATATTTTCCAACAATACAATTTTCACAATAACTGCCAGACGTAGTTGCTGATCTGCATCCTTCTGTACAGTTTCCTTGAGTTCTTCCACATATGTTGTTTTGACAATCATCGGGACATTTAATGTCGCAAAAGGATCCATAATAACCACGTACACAGTCAGAACAAGTTTCACCATCAAAGTTAGGTAAACAATAATAACATTTTCCAGTTTCAATGGAACAAACATTGCCTATACAACCAACAGAACAATTATTCTGACACTGATGACCAAACTTGCCAGAATAACAGTTCAAACATTTTTCGTACGAGGAGCAGCTTATACAATCCTTGTTGCATGTATTTGAACATACTTTCTGGTCACCACTACTATAAAATCCATCTTTACAGGAATAACAATCTGTATAAGTTGAACAATTATAGCAATTATCCGGGCATTTATTTATGCATGATTCTCCTGTGTCAAAAAATCCATTTTTGCACATAACACATGTCGAGACATTACAATAACAATTTTCAGGACAATCTAAATATCTACAATCAAAGTATTTGTCTTCGTCTTTGTTGACGAATCCTTCTTTACAAGTTTGACAGACGGTATCAGAAGTACAGGTTTTACAATAAGACGGACACTCGGACTTACAATCTTTTTTAAGTCCTAGGTAAAATCCGTCAAAGCATGAATCACAGTAACTTATATTGCTAGCACAAGATTTGCAATTAAAATTACAAAGCTCATAGCATCGAGGACCTCTATGGCCATCTATGCATCCATTTAAACAAGTATTTGGAAAATCGTCATCAAGATAGCATTTTGAACCAACACAACATACACTACAGCTACTGTCATGGGTAACACAACTTTTGTTCCATTCTGGAAATAATTAAAACGGACGATTTGTTGGTTATAAATAGGGATGAGAAATAATCTATGTAATGGAGGAACACCAAACAGATAAATCCTAATAAAATGTGTAATCTTTGCAGGTCGCAAATTACGGCAAAATTTGGCGTTCTTATGGACGGTAGAGCTACATGATTAAATAATTGTTTCCTTTATTTGAAAATCTTAACTTATTATTTTCAGTTATGTGCTTTAGCCAAACAAATTTTGTTTTTACCAGGTATCTTTTTCCGATTGTTGACAATTTCACACTAATTTTATTTATTTATTTATTTATATTTCATATTATGAGCGGATGATTTGTTAATTTGTTAGAATAAGTGAGACTCCATCAGATATTACATTTCAGAATCACGTAAAATGATTAGCAGTTAACACTTATATTGGAATCAATTATTTAAATCAACATTCTTAAGTTATTTCATAATCTAATTATTTTTCTTCTGTTGTGTTGTCTAAGTTCAAGTTTAAATGATATCTTCTTAATATCAATTAAATATTTAAAATCTGTATTTACCACTTGCATTAGGTTAAAAATCAACGTAAGATGGCGCTAAAATTATGTATTTAGTAAACAACCTTCTTTATCTATGGAACCGGGCAGATGTAACATTCCAAGCTATAGGTCGTAGCGATAGGTCGTCCGATAAATTAAAAGTTGCATTTTTGACGCGAGGAAAGAATGTGTGTTAGATTAGTTTTGACAAAGCAATTTTACACCATTGCAAAAGAAAGGATTTGTTCAGAGATGTTGACATGGAATTGACTAGGAATTTGGAAACGTGTAACTTTTTGTCTTACGAACGTTGAGTTATTTACTTATCTGGTTGATGACTGTTATTGCTTCTACACATTGCTTATAAGTATTGCTCGTAGTATACTTAGATACATGTATGTCAAAATGGCTTCAAGGACATTTTTGCATGTGCAATAAAGTGTAGTTATCAGATTGTTATAAAAAAATTAAGAGACCATGTATGGTGATCGGTAAATTGTGTGAATTGATATATTCATATCTATTTTATTTCTCTATCAAACAGAGTCTTTGCCTATTTTAGCGTTCTAGGAATTCCGTTTTATTTCTATATTTAAAAGGATGTAACTCGTTCACTGGTTGAAGTAAATTTCTTCCGGGTGCATGTTACGAAATAATATTTCTATTTTGACTTAACTCAAACATTGTGACCGAAATGTTATCGTAGTATGTTTAGTACTTTCTTATATTCGGAATCCTCGTGAACTAAGCATTGTGTTCGAACTAGATTAAGCTGTAACATTTACATTAATACGTATATAATGTCCTGAATAGTGTCTTACGTATATCCTAAAAAAATGCAATACATTTATGAAATATTGTTGCACTTTATAAAATAACAAAAATGTACGTACTGCCAAAGACAAAATATCTGTAATTGCCAAGACAGCTTATAACAACTATGACCTGAAACAGAAAAATGTACCTTGAAAAAGCAAATGTTTGGTACATAAACAAAATGTTATAAGTAAAGTCACGGTTCAACTGCAATAGCGTATAACTAGTTATGATAATGTCTTATTCTCTGATATACAGAATGATTACATTTAAATAAAATGATAACAAAACAAGAACCATTGAATATGATGAACTATTTACAACAAATCGTATTTTCGCCTTTTCTCCACAAAACCCAAAAAATGCAATAACACAAAAACAAACTGTTGTAGTTTTATGTTTTTGTATTCTCGAGGCAAAACACAAAAAAACGACAAAAGAAGTGCGATAATACAACACATAAAATGTGTCCTCTTTTCGCAAAACACACCTTGTATCTTTTCTCTTTTCCGGCGAAATTGCAAAACTGCAAACATACAAAGATACGACAATATCAAATCGTCGTGTTAACTCCTCGTTGAATACTTTGTAGCACGAGTAGCATGTATGGGCTCTGGTTGTATTAGCTATCGCGCATACAAATAGCAACGTGAGCTTACAAATAAATGGTGACAAACAAGTGTAGATAAAATTAATATTATGTACTTAATCAAAATCGAAAATGAAACAGAATAACGCGAAAAGAGAAATACTCGCAAATGTAAAAGACGACATAGACGACAGTGCAAAACACGAAAGCAATAGGGCAAAACACGACATATTAAAGGTGTCGTATGTTTGCCTTATTGTGTTGTCCTTTTGAATTTTAACCTCAATCATGTAAAATTACGACAAAAACATCCTTTGTTGCAAAACTTTATTGTATCTTTGTGCTTTTGCATTTAAAATGTATTGCTCTATAATCGAAGGTCTGTAATTCCATGCATAGTTACTCTGATAGTATTTAGTATAAGGCCGCGTCTACACCTATTCAAGTTTCTTACATGTCACATTTAGATAAGCTAAATAAATGGCCCTTTCAATATTTTATCAGGCACAATTTTTACTGAAATGTCTAATTAAGATTGCCCAAGATTTATACCTTTGTCATTGCAATACTATCATGTTTCTGTAAAATATGTGAATAAAAAAGCGGGAAAATGATGCAATTAGCTAAAAACAATGGAGTTAATGAAATTGAAATGTGTACATTCTTTTAAAATAATGGAAAATGTGAGAAAAATATTTTTGGAGCTGATAAATTAATGCAAATTCTTTATTTGATGAAAGTTATTCACTAAATGAACAAGATCATTTAAAATTCATTTTGACATTTTTTTTTTTTTGCTCTTCTGTGTATCAGTGTATTGATCTTTTCCTCTGACCAAGATATTGTATACATTTACTAAAATTTACAGATCATGAACACTGAATTAGTAACAAAAAAAGTCAGAAAATAATAATAAAAACAACACTATCAAACCTTCGGGGCACATGTTTTGTGTCAAACCGGTGTTATCAGTGTCTTGACAGCCAAAAACTTGTAGAAAAAAATAGAACGAGTTCTAACTTTCTTGCACGGAATTATCTTCTTGGATGTCACATAATTTCTCTTTAAAACTCATTTAAGTAGGGTGTCTACACTATCCAATACAAGAGAATATGATACTTGCATTCAAGACTTGGATAGGTGTAGACGTCCCTAAGACATAATAGCAAACCGCGACAGGATTATATATGAACGTTGTTGGCAAATGTAAAATACATGATGGGACATTTCATTTATTTATATGGCAGATTATAAAATGTTTCATAAAAAATCATTTAAAATTTTATCGACATTTTTTTCAAACAACATTTCATAAGAAAATCCAGAATATACATTTCTATTGCTTTTATCAATATTTAAAATGATTACGAAAAATGTGCCCATTGTAAACCTATCAACCTAAATGTGGCTGATTGTGTCGTCCTTTTGCAATTTCACCCCGAAATTACGAAAACAAAATTTTACATTTTCGAGTGGAAAAGACGAAAATACGACAAGGCGTTAATCAGTCCTAACAGAAATTTAAAACAGTCACAATAAATCAGTCACAATAATAACTTCCTTAAACATCACGTAGATTTTAAATATTTTATACAAATGATATTTTAATAGAACAAACCTTTGTCCAGAGTTTGTTCATTTTCGTTGTTCTTGTTCAATTTCCTATAATCAATAGTTAAAATAATTCCAAAACTGAATTCCTTGATTTTTAAAAATTCTCTGTCGTCTGTTCCGATGTTTTCACAACAAGATATAAGTTTTAAAAAATATAAGACAGTGATATCATAACGAAAGAAATCAGCAATCAGGAAGTAGAGTTTATACAAACATGTATTTGATAAACAGACGATCATAACTACATTTAAATATATAAAATTTGAAGAAGTAACAAAACTAATCAATTAAATTAAATATTTGAAAATTTGAATATATATGAAATATAATGAGTTTATTTAGGCTTGTCTTCATTTCATAAGGTATAATCATGCATGACTAGAATGATTTAACCACACTGAGGCGAACTTATTGACACTTGCAAATTGATATATGTTTTTTTACAAATCATGATGAGGTTCTTTTAATGCTAATACATAAAATATAAAACACAAATATATTTGTGGAAAAGATGATTTTAATGAATCAATATGTCTAATTATTTATTACATAAAGACTTGCAGTACGGAATAAGTTGCATTCATTCAAGCATTTTATTTAAATTTCTACTATCAACGATAACATGTAGAGCAATTCGAAATGTTTTCTAAGCGAGCCACTTCAAAACATAACAATTCATTTCATGCCAAATCGAACCGGTCTCATCTTAAATAAAGGGTCCGAGCCATTTCTAACATTGAGGCTTTACTTTAAAGGGATATTCAGGCAAAATAATGACAAAAATATTAAAATGATCTAATGTACTCAAATCAAGCTAAAATGACTTTTCTCGAAGTTTCAGCTTGAATTTCTGTTTATATCTATATATTTTGGGTTTGAAGCGTAAATATATCTATATATAATGAACAAAATTTAGAGTCCAATAGAATCACCAAATAGTTTTTAAACAAGTCAGTTGACTTGAAACAAACCCTTGAAGTTACAATAACAGATATTGTGGATATTGTATGATTGTAACAAGCCTAAGTCATTCATTTGACATGTTCTTTAACGTTTCCAGAGTTCACATTGACAACTATTGTTAAATGCTAGCGCTCTAACCTGACCCACGCGGGTCAAGTTAGGAAACCACCATTTTATTCTTTATATGGAGAAAAGTTTTGTTCCTTTGACTGCCTAAGCGAGCCACTTCCAATGAAATTTTATTTCAAGTCTAACCGAGCTACTTCCAAAAATAAAGTTTTACTTAAAGCCATATTGAGCCACATCTCAAAAAAATGAGAATTAAGATCAACAAGGCAAAGGCAAGCCTCAAGCTAACCGAGCCACTTATGAATCGAAATCGTACATAGATAATAAAATTATGACTACAAAATTCATTTATTTGACCTTGACGGTCAATGTCATTTAAGGGCCAGTTTAACCTTTTAAAAGGTCTTGTTAAAAGGTTGTTTTGTCCAAGTATAAAAAATAATTCATTTATTAATTACCAAGTGGCAGTCAATTATAGCAAAGATCAGAAAAAAAAATAATTTAACCTTTAATCTCAATGTCATAAATGAGACAAGCTCAATTGTTTGGATATAGAGCTTAAGATGAAGCTTTTCCATAAGCCTATTAAAGCCACTTCTAAATATATAGCTGTACTTTAGGTTTAGCCTAACAACTTCCTTCAAGCCTAACCGAGCCACTTCCGAAAATGAAGCTTTACTTTAACAGAAAGTGTAGCTTTTAGCTTATGCTCATCTGTGTCAGTTTTGATAAGCCACTTCTCGATATAAGAAAGGGGATTATTTTATTTCTGGTAGTGTATCAATTTTCAATTTCATTTTAAAATATGGTTACTTGTTTTTAAAAAGAAGCTGGAATATATAGTATTCATTGATTGTTGATGATATTTGTAAATTAACCTGTATTTTTTCAGTATTGAACCTTGAAACAGAAAGTTAAACCATTACATTAAGTAAGATATATGTGGGATTTCTATTATTTGCAAGGTTATTTCTCATACTGTAATAAGAGTAGCAACCGATTACCAAGATAGAAAGAAATTTATCATCATTTTCTTTGAAGGGAGTGGCGCATGCGAAAAATCATATACAGTCCTATTATTAAGAGCAGTGATAATATTTTGTTCTGGAATATTGTATTATGTACAAGTTTATAAACTTCATTTGAGATGGTCTATACAACAATTCATATGAGAAACGATCGTTAGTTTAAAAAACATCGTTATTGCACTGTTTTCACATTTTATAATACATATTTCATCATTAGAACCGTTTTACCGAGCGTTTTACAACCGACTTATTTTGACTGCAACTCATTAAATTACTACAATTAATTATGAATACACGCGTCAAAACGCTACTTGTGATAGGGGGAACTATGTGAATTGTCTATGATTTACTAAATTTTCAAAGACAATATTATATATATATTTTTTCGATATTTAAATGTTGGTTTTGTCAGTCCAATTAGTCCGGATTTATTTTCAACAGAATAAATCATGTAATCTAGTTGGGTTTTTTGTTGTTATTGTTGTTGTTTTTTTTCCAAAATATCATATATTTCTGTTTGTTTTAAATATATGTCATTATTAAGTATATGGTTATTGTATGATAATGAACTGAATATCCAAGTCTTTGGACCTGGCTTATGTGATATTCACCGAGGCCGAAAGATATTCACCATAATCTCAATACAAAAACTGTCTTGAAATCCATATAGGACTAACCTGTCTTTAGTTTTCTCGTCTTCTGCCTTGCTTCTACCCTTGTAGGTGATTTTCTAGTCTTTTAGACATTGAGTACTTTTGTTATGCTCATTGGGTTTATTTTTATATGTATCTACATTATCATTTCTGTGTTTTACATACTTCTTCTTTTGTATCCACAACAGCTGTTAGAATTTAACTTGACGGGGATTCATTTTATTTACATCGTCTCTTTTAAAGGGAACATGGTGGGGCTGAGAGTGATATTTGGTGCACCATTAAGCTTAAGCGATTTACGGCATTGCTTGTGTTTCTACCCGTTCCAAGGTGGCGCCTCTCTGTTTTCCTCAGAAATGTGTCTAGTTTGTTGTCTCATACTACTATTGTAGCATTTGTGTTTTCATTCTTGATGTTTTCTCGTGTACGGTAAGTATCTTCCCTTTGCCCAAAGTTTAAATTTTTGTTGTTAATGTTGTTTGTGTTTCTGTGCGTTGTTTTTATCACCCCGTACGTTCTTTTCCTTGTGTCCAGCTTTTGTTTGGTGTCTTGCTGGGTTTGTTGCCGGTGATCCAGTGTTGCTGTATCGTGTGGTGGTTGCATTCATTAAATGATGCCCTTCCTTGTTTGTTGTTTTTTTGTGGGTTTTTTTTTTTTGTTTTTTTGGTTTTTTCATAATTTATTTTATGACAGAAATTAAATGCTTTATTTTGGTAAATTAACAAAGTACAATGTAGTCCTTTTTCCCCCAGCAAAAAGTAAATATTCTGTAAATTGTAATATATTGGAATATGAATCAAAACATTTTATTTGTCATTACACTCGTATTGTCGACCTATAAAGAAACGTCTTTTTTTGGTTTGGTTGGTTAGTACCATATATCGCGTGGATCCTTTAATGGTTATTTCCAAATATATAGCGTCAGGCTCTATGGCGCAGTTTATAATCATGAATATTACATGGAGTCGAGGTCATAATAAGTATGACATCTATGTGTTTGAGTTATTAAAGTATAGGATAGTAATAAGTTATGGGTCGAGTTTGAAGCCAAATAATTTTGTTTATCCGAAACAAGATTCCAATCTTTTAATATCTGTATAAGAGTTTAATTGTTTGTATATATGACTTTAATTTCATCATGATTGTAATATAAAGTTATTAACTAAAGCGTCCGTTGTACCACGTGACGTTGCTTGTAGTTAATGTCATATCATCATTATAAACCTATCCGTGCAATATAAAAACGGCCGACCAAACGATATTTTTGTTGCTAGTGTCTTGCTGTCCTGTCTGTGGTTATTCATTTTTATATTATTATTTTATTCCTATTTTTAGGCAGGGGGTGTGGGTGAACTAGGTCAAGAATTGGTATATGTCTCTCAAAGATTCTCTTTATCATCTTCACAAGCCTTTCAAATACTTGTTTAATGTTATACAAATCCGGACTCTGCAAAATGAACAGACCATTCATACGTAAACTTGTTGTTAAAAAGATGTTATCCGTCCAAAACGCGGCAAATGTTGTTACCAATAATAACAATAATAATAAATGAACTTTTATTCTTTATAGGGAGATGACATTATAAAATTTTCTACCGGTTTGTGTCATCATAAGGCAGACCATTTGATTTTTAAGTAAATGTAAATGAGTTGTAACGCAATATTTGAATATATTTTTTCTCTCTTGCATATAATTAAGATTTTAAATGGTATTATATACAGTAAAACAGTACATAGGATTTTCAGAGTATTAAGGATTACAAAACATAAAGACAAGTAAGCAAAAAAATCTTTGTAGAAAGTATTGTGCCATTTATAGTCAATTACTCTTTAACGCCAAACTGATTTTGTTGACGAATAAGCTATTTTCTAAAACTGGGACATTATATCTGGGACATTCATGAATGTATTAGACTAATTAAATTATCATAAGAAAGAATTGTTTTGAACAATATATTCTTCAAATCTGTCATTTCATCAAATAAAACACCATCACAGCACATGTACAACTTATTGCCAAATCTAGAGACAAAATTTTCACTTCATCGTCAATGATGTCATAATGTTCTTCGATGTTATGTTCACCTCGAAGACTTAAATCATCATGTTCACATATTGCTCCTTTTCATCAGAAGCTTTATCTGAAATGTATAAAAAAAATATGTTTTAACTTAGATTTTATGATTTTTTAAAATCAAAATGATTCAGAAATATTGTTCATAATCATCCGATCGTTTGATTATAAAATGAAAGTAATTTATTTTCAAATTCTATGAACGGAACATATGAACAATCCATTTTGCTGTGATGACAATCAAATTAAAGAAGAATAAACATTAAGAACGTGTTAAATATATCTAATATTATATTGTTATTTATTTGTGTTAAATTATTTCTAAAGTCATTCATTATGAAGCTTAATCTTTAGTTAAGTTTAATGAAATATGTAAACCAACTCAATGTACTATCCATTAGTACAACTGATATAACCTCTTGCAGTAAATATAATAAATCTATACCTTCAGATGTTTGGACGTTTGCTGAACCATACTTGTTTTTATCGAGAGCTTAAAGTGTAATAAAAACTTAATTATTCAAAAATTTACGTAAAAAAGCAAATAAGAAACCAAAACTTAATTAAAAATATTTTTTGAATAAGGATAATAAATTGATAACTATTCAGTTCAATTGGTATAAAAATGTTTGTTTTAAAATCAGTTAAAAACTTTATAATATATATTAACTGTTTCACGATATATAACGATATAACATTATAAAGCAGCAGTTATCTTACATCTAACATCCAATGTTTCGTATGCACTTTCATCTCCAACATTTTCATCTGAAATTTATATTTGTTTAAATTGTGTTTATGCTTTTTAACAAGTGATTGCATTCAGCAAGTGTATTGTACGTTCAAACAAAATTGATTTTGTTTTTATTTTACTAACGTGACTTTCATTTTGAGATAAACAATATATTTTTCTTCCCCCTTTATTCATATCAAATTCAATAGGAAGGGCAAACTTTTAAATGATGGCAAGACCAATTTGCTATTTATAAATATAACTTAGCTTCCCTGTAAATGCTGTAAACTTATTCCTCAATTGTTTGTTTTATGTATGCATGTAAAATCTTAATTGTTTTGTTTATGAAGAAAACAAACATCAAAATATGATTGAATGTATAATCAAATGCTGATTATTTTAATGTATATTTTTGTATTACGATTTTTTAAAATATCGCATTGTCTGTCTTCTAAAGTTTTTGGATATTCAGCAAAAATGTCCATTTGCTTAACTTGTTGGCTGACAAGCTATCATAAAATTTATCATTTTATCATCAGTTAATTATTCAAAACACATATCTGACCATTTATGGCATAAACTACATACTTAATATTTGTAATTTAATTAAATTATCGTAGTTTCATAATTGCATGTATCAATAAATTATTCAAATAAAGAATCCACATTTACCTCCATTTGAGCTATTGTGCATTTCAACTGTAACGCTTTCAATACCAATAAGTGTAGTCGATTCCTCTTTTTTCCTCCTAAAATTAAAAGTCAAAATATCATCTGCCGATTGTTAATCAAGCAAAACGTATATCAATGCATAGTTTCCTTTACTTTTTTATTTTTAGATGGTTTCAAATTATAACGTATAAAATATCTAATACAGTTTTACCTTTTTGCTGCGACGAATTTCTCTAGAATCATTTTTGATATCAAAACGCATAAAGAAACAGATGTAACACCCAACAGTGTTCCTAAAACTGTGATTAAAGTGCCATTGGAATAACTTTGGTTATCATCAAGTGATTTTGCTGAAAACATAAATTAAACAGTATGCGAGTAGTTTAAGTGGGGTTTTAAATGAATCAACTAAAGGTATCAGTAAAGTTTAATTTCCGTTTTCGACAAATGATTAAAAAAGTATTATAATAAAATATAACTAAATTGTCATCATAAATATGTGTCTTTTTATGAATAAACAAGATATGCCCATAATGGTAACCGCTTTTTAATAACCAATAGCAAATTATTCACGTTAATAGCCATATAGCATCAGAGCAATATGCTCATTTTTCAATACAATACTTAGTCCATAACTAAAAATAATGAACGAGTATATTTATTTTGAATATCACAATAAGAAATTCGTTACTTTCAAGCAGTTCCTTTAACACGACTTGTTTGTATGCCCATTAAGCTATGTAAAAGAGTTATTGTTGGCAAAGAAGAATGAGGTTCCATCTTAAGCTAGAGACTAAAATAATTGACAAAGGATCGCCCTAGTCTTCCTAAGGCAGAACAGCTGATTAATCGACATATGCCGTCAACGTCGGTGTAATTTTTAAAGCTGCATGTCTCCAAATGATCCAAAATATTTCAAGAAAATTATACTTAAAAAATGTACTTAGACTTCAAGAAATGTAAAACGATTTAAAATGCACGTAATAATTTACATATTTATTGCAATTGATGACTGATTTTGCAGTATTTATCACCATTTTTCTACTGCGTGGCTAACGCAGTATATGCTATTTTAACTATTTCTATTTTACGTGGATTAAATATGTCGTTTGCAATGTGGAAATGACTTTGTTCACTTGAAAATATTTTACATTTCAATACAGTTTCAAAATTGTCATGAAAATTAGCATTGATTTGGTGGCACCCTGTTTTAAATTCTTAGCTAAAACTAAATGTAATAAGTCATTCAAACGTAATGAAATATTTCTCTGTAAAGTGAGTTCTATTTTTATTCTAAGCCCAACTCACAATTGATATAACTTTTTTATTTCTTTTGTCTTTATTAAATTAATTCATTTATTCATTAATTAATTTATTTATTTATTAATATTTTGATGCTGTGGCTTTGAAACATAAATTGTAGTTTTAATTTCTAATGAGTTAATTAAATTGATTAACTTACCGGCCTTGTGGACGCAAATTATATCATCCAGCGAAGCTCTACACCCTTCTGTACAAATGCCAGTGTTCAACGCACAAACATTGTTGATACAAAGATCACTGCATATCCGATCACAGGTTTGACCAAAGTACCCGGATTTACATTCACGACAAGCCGTGCTATTTTTGCAATATACACAATTATTGCTGTTTATACAACAGTTATCTCCAGAGTATTCATCCTTGCACCCATGGCTACATTTACCAGAATCTTTATTGCAGGTAATCTTCGTGCACCCTGAGGAACATTTTTGTTCACAAAATGAGCCATAGAAACCAGGTTTACAGAAATCACACATTATTCCGTCAAAACGTTCCATACATTCGAAGCAATACCCAGACAGTTTCTCGCAATTGTTATCTTTGCATGTATCTGGACAGTCGTCTTTACATTCATCTCCGTATTTACCCTGAACACATTCCAAACAAAAAGGTCCTTTGAACCCATCTTTACAACCCTCAGAACATGTACCAGTGTCTTTGTCACACTTTCCATTCAAACAATTTTTCGAGCAATTATTTTCACAATATAAGCCATATTTCCCAACAATACAATTTTCACAGTAATTGCCAGACATGGTATCTGATTTACATCCTTCTATACAGTTTCCTTGAGTTCTTCCACATGAATTGTTTTTACAATTATCGGGACATTCCTTGTCGCAAAAGGATCCATAATAACCAGGTACACAGTCTGAACAATTTTCACCATCAAAGTTAGGTAAGCAATGACATTTTCTATTTTCAATAGAACAAACATTATCAGTGCAACCAATTGAACAATTATTCTGACATTTATGTCCAAAAAGTCCAGTTTGACATTTCAAACATTTGTCATAGGAGGAACAGCTTAAACAGTCCTTGTGACATGTGTTAGAACATGTTTTCTGGTCATCACTGCTGTAAAATCCATCTTTACAGGAATTACAATCTGTATTAGCTGAACAACTATAGCAATTATTCGGGCATCTATTCATACATGATTCTCTTGTGTTAAAAAACCCATCTTTGCACATTACACATGTCGAGGAATTGCAATGGCAATTTTCAGGACAGTTAAAATATCTACAATCAAAGTATCTGTCTTTATTGACGAATCCTTCTTTACAAATCTGACAGTTTGTATCAGAAGTACATGTTTTACAGTTGGAAGGACACTCAGACTTACAATCTTTATTCGGTCCCAGGAAATATCCGTCATAGCATGAATCGCAGTAGGTTATATTACTATCACAAGATTTGCATGTTAAATCACAAAGCTCATAGCATCGAGCACCTCTATGGCCATCTATACATCCATCCACACAATTATTTTGAAAAATTTTATCCTTAACGCATTTTGAACTAGCACAGCATACACTACAGCTACTGTCATGTGAAACACAACTTTGGTTCAATTCTAAAAGTTAATTAAAAACGATGTTTCAAAAAGCCCTAATGGAAGACAAAGACACATTATCATCGAATCTTATACATAAATGTTTTGCATTGAACTACAAAAAAGGCATTATTTCATTTAATCAGGATATTACCATTACATAAACTGACGTCATAATATCATATTCATTACTAAGATACATTTATCTGTCATTTCTCTTGCATTAATTCAAAGTTGTTTCAAGTAATAAAAATACATAAACCTTAAAGGTCACAATCAATGAAAAATTAATGTTGAAAAAAAAAACAGATTGAAAAAACACAGTAGTGTTTAATTACCATGCCCGACATATATTGTGTTAGACAGAACACAAGATCTAAGATAAAGAAATTTATATTATGTGGAATGTTATATTTAGTGTAGCGATAAAATATTTAAACACTTTTTTAAAACTTTAATGTCCACTTATTGTGAACATAATTTGCTTCATAATAAGATTATAAATATCATACAAACTAATGTGATTTTATTATAAAATCAATTCTAAATTGGTTTCTCTTAGGTTGGTGTCCTATATTTTGTTTCCGTGGATTGGCATTGCCTGGTCCATAATAATTTATTTATCTTTATTGTTATATACGAGTATGTATTTATTCATTTTTTTCTGAAAACATTGCAATACTATTCATGTTTTAGAAGTGCTTTCCGGATCGTATTGCCATTTTACCTTTGTCAGTATATTTGTATTTGGTCTAGACTGGGTTTAAATAGTCATAAATTCATCTACAAAGTCCGAGGAATATCCTTAAGAAAATGTTAAACATTTATGAAGTACTGTTGCATCTTTGAATGTTATAAAATATATACCTACTGCCAAAGACAAAATATCTGTCAATATAGCCTAGAACACACACGACAACTAAGACCTGAAACAGATAAAAATTCATGTAATCACAATGATAACAGTTTTAAAGAACGGTTAAACACGAACTGGGTATAATTATTTCTTGCTAAGTTTAACAGCGACCATGCTTTATGATAGCTAAGGGGCTTTTGTATATATGTATCTTGATCATTTCTAGAATTTTTATTATAAAATTGTTTATTATAAAAGAATTTTTATAATAAAACAATGACTACATTGAGAAAAAAAAACATGTTCATCAGAAAATGAATAGCAGTTATAGTAAGTATTGCTTCAAATATGATTTAAACTGAATGCATTATATTGAGAAGATATTAAGATCATAACTGTGAAATATCATTGCAACATCACTAGATGTAAAGCTTTATACAGAAAAGTTCCCGTGAAACAAACCGTTTTCCAAAGTCTGCTCATCTTCGTGAATTAAATCCTTTATCATTTGTCACTATAGTTTATTTCATTTTACAAATATTTTATCTTATTTCGAAGCATTCTGTGTTATACGGTGTCTATATTATGATTTTAGGTATGTCAACAGCAAAAGAGGCAGTTAAATATTAACAAAGCGGAAGATAAATTTACGACACGGTTAATCAACATACATTTAGATTTGTAAAGTTTTTTCGTTTTAAATATTTAAAAATATTTAAATATCATCGAGTTACGTTCAACATTAAAGTACAAGTGGGGTACCTCTTCCATTCATTAAGTTGATTTGAAATAATTTCCTCATGGTTTAAAAAGCCCATATACAATTAAGGCTCAATAAAGTAAAGACTGCAGAAAAAAAAATGCAGACAACAAAACGGAATCTCCGGCTACTTTCAAAAACAAACATTTTAATTTACACTTGTTTATAATAAGGTGTGATAACAAAAACAAAATGTACATGTTTTGAAAATACATTTTGCGTCTTGCCAATCCATCGGTCAATTATTAAGCCAGTGTATAACATTTGTCTCAGCCCAGAAAGCGAAACGACAGCAGAATTATAGAGCCAATTTCATTTTGAGAATAAATTAGCTGTTCACATGTTTGATTGAAACATGATGGTAAATGGAAATTTTGTAATTATTTTGGAAGATAGATAAGGACACATTTTATGAATGACACATATTCTTCATTCATGTCAAAATGTTTAAAGCTACCGAGAATTGACAGTGGCAGAGCGAGGTTCGGGCATGTTCTGAACCTACCAAAGTTTGAATATCAAAATTGATAAAATTTATAGAGCAGGCAGTATTGAATATTCATTTTCGACAATAATTGATTTAATGTAGTACTAAAATTCGTAAGTAAAACACTTTAAAGGCCTTTATACTGCCCGCACAGCTCAATAGGGAGAAAATTGGATTTGTAATCAAGGTGAAGCTGTTTCGATTCTCGGTTGAGTCGAAATATTTCCGTAAAATAAATCCCACACATTGATTCTAATGGTCATTTGTCAATTACCACTGAAAGTACATTGATGTGGAATAGTTAGTCGATTACTTATGGAGAAATTAAGTACTGGTAATCAGGAAAGTCGGCCAGGTGGACCGACTGACGACATATGTTAACATATTAAATCTGTTAATTCTGCGTTTAACAGTGAATTTAGCAACAAGATTATACGTAATATTTCTTTTTGATAAATTGTCTACTCTTTAATAAATACCTTCATTACTGTACTGAATAACATGTTGAAATCATTGGAGTCAATGTCAGCTTCATATGTGTTATTCATTACATTTTATAAATATATTTTATAAACATATAAAATAATTTATAACATTGTTGTACTTTTCGTGAATTGAATTCCCTTCCACTGATATGCTATTTTAGGAATTACCATTAGCCAATCAGAGAGTACAATGTTATCACATGACTTTCTTAACCAATCAAAATCCGGCATCTTCATTCTTAGCCATTATTTTACGAAGGATAATACGCTTATTCATTTTGCTCAAGATTCTTTCATTTACGCTATAATCAAGTCATATCTTAAACAACATTATACGGTAATAATTGATAAAGGTGTTTTTACATCATATTAGAGGTAAATCCCTGCAGCACGGATATGTTGAAGTGATAAATTTTGACGTTTTTGTTCTCGTCACTCAAGTCAGTGCGTTTCGCAGAGTCAAGATGGCCGCTTCCATCCAAATATTTGGACATTCATTTGTGAAACGTCTGAAATGCTTTCTACGCGAGCAAGTGCAGCTGCGTTTCAATTTAAATTTATCTTCATCTCCTCTGGTACAATATTCTGGCTATTCCGGAGCAGTGGTCGGCACATAACGGTCAAATTTAACGGACATTGTGGATTTTTCACCTGACATTGTTGTTCTATTGATTGGAACAAACGATCTCTTTAATCCAGAGGTAACGGCAGTTTCCCTTACGTCATCGATTTTGGATTTGGTTGACAGTCTGATATTCTTATGTCGAGTCAAGAAAGTAGTGGTCTGTCAAATTCTGCATCGTCAACCGACCTCCATGGGCAGGTACAGAGTGGACACAGAATGGTTCAACAACCGGGTCGATGAGACGAATCATTTGCTCTCTTCCAGAATCCAAATGCTTCCACATGATCACGTCATCTTCTGGCGTCTCAAAGGGTTTTGGTCACCAGAGGCTACAAAACAGTCCTTTTCCTTGGATGGAGTACATTTATCTGATGTGGGCCAGAAGAAGTTATATTCAAACATCCGTGCTGCAGTGGTTCATACATTGAACAAATGGCTTCTATAAGAATCAAGATATGTATATGTTTTATATTTCTCACTGTTCGCTGTTTTGCGATGACTTTCAAGTTGAGAACTATATACAGCCTTTTATATTATTTATATCTAATGTATACAGTTTAAGTCACAACTACAATATTTTAAGCTACTTTACTCTTTATTTCAAATACTGATAATGTCTTAGTGGTTCTACTTTATAATGGATGCGAAGGCATTATGCTTACCATTACACACAATCGTTAACTTGTGTTAGGGATAAAGAAATACCAATTTTTTATTATATAGGTATTTCACTTGATGATACTGTACCAGTCAGTTATGTCGTCACTACAAATGTCACTGTTTCGTATGGCTTTGTTTAGATAAACGTTTTTTCCGAATGCTATGAAGTAAATGTTTCTTCAGACTAAGCTCCAACGTATTTGTGTCGGGACTATGTGTTTTTGCAGGCTATATTTTAACTTTCCAGACCACGTCTGATGTATTGTTTTTCCAGACTATGTTCTGATGTTTATGTTTTTCCAGACTTTGGTCTGATGTGTATGTTTTGCCAGACTATGTTCTGATGTTAATGTTTTTCCAGACTATGTTCTGATGTTAACTTTTCCAGACTACGTTCTGATGTTAATGTTTTTTCCAGACTACGTTCTGATGTACATGTTTTCCAGACTACGTTCTGATGTTAATGTTGTTTTTTTTCCAGACTACGTTCTGATGTACATGTTTTCCAGACGATGTTCTGATGTACATGTTTTCCAGACTATGTTCTGATGTTAATGTTTTTCCAGACTACGATCTGATAAACATGTCTCCAGACAGTGCTCTGGTGTAAATGTGAATACGTTCGAACTGTTTTATGTATATTTTGTCAGTCTATGTTATTATATACATTACAATACTGTAGTGTAATTCTATTCTAGGTTCGGCACTCCATGTTAATTCAGGTTAATTGGTTCATGTATAACCCATCCCTCTTTTTTCCTAATTTCAGATGAAACGCAACAAACGTACGGCAACAGTAAGTAAATGTCTGTTACCATGTTGTACGGCGGGTTCATCAAGCCATAGTCCAGGGGACGATGTCATGCACAATCATGACAATGTGACAACAAGGCATATTGCGAAAGGAACAAAATCTAAGAATCCAAGTAGACGCAACAAATATAAACAAAATGCAAACAGTCCACCTACGCCGGCACGGCCATCAACAACACACAGAGTACCACCTACACACAGCCATCTGCCAACACCACCGTAACAGGTCCTACAGAGTTCGTCGGACACTAGCACTGATTCAGAAGAATCTGATGACTCTGAAAGTGATGATGACTTTTTTAACTTAGACAGCATAGTTAATAACCATACATATAACCTGGCAGGTAACATTGGTTTGTCACAATTTGAAGAGCCTGTCTCCACACCTATTTCCCATTCAATTCCGAACAAAATTATCAGGAAAATTCAATCAAACAAATTTGTCGATTTTGCATCTCTTCTGCCAAACATGGCATTATCAATGTCACAACAAGACCATTTTTCACTGACAGTCAATTCCAAGAACCATTTGAGCCTGGTCCCCTCTACAAATACTAAGAGAATCCATAACATTGATTGCTGGACGACTGCGTTCTTGAGGTTTGTGGCAATCTACTCCGCAACCTACCCGCATGAGACCCCACAGTTAATGAAATATGGGGAAATTGTGCGGGATCTAGCTAGCCGGAGACCGGGCCTTGCCTGGTCTTATTACGATTGCCAGTTCCGTATGTTCCGGGAACGGCAGGTTATCCCCTGGGACAGAATACACACCGTGTTTTGGGTCATGGCCACAACCCACCAACCATTTCCGGTCCAATATCCGCCATTTCAAGGCAATCGGCCCTTTCGTTCAATGCCCAACATGTCATTCAGGTCAAACCAAACCTCAGGACGGAAACAGTCCAGATTCCTTGAGAACACCTGTTGGACATACAACAGAAGAGGTGTCTGTCAAACCCCACGATGCCTACGGCCCCACATCTGCGGCTTCTGTAGAGGTCCACACCATTCCGGCCAATGCACTTATTCCAGCAAAGAACAAGCTTTGTCAGCTGTTAACGCTCCAACACCCACAACTAACCACACAGCCTCAACCGTCCGTACTCCAAAAAAGTAGGTTAGACCACTGCCTCACAACCCCCATAAAAGTTCCCACACTAGCTAAATTCTTGAAAGGTTACCACAATTCTGATTATCTAATCAACGGTTTTACACATGGTTTCAGTTTGGGTTACATTGGTCCCAGGGAATCAACTATGTGTTCTAATTTAAAATCATGCATAGAGCTTCCAGAAATTGTTCTCACTAAACTTCAAAAAGAACTTTCAGCAAAGCGAATAAAAGGCCCTTTTTCAGAAAAACCTTTCAACAATTTTCATATCAGTCCCATTGGCTTAGTTCCAAAGAAAACACAAGGAGAATTCCGATTGATACACCATTTGAGTCATCCTAAGGGCAAGTCCATAAATGACCACATTGACCCACAACTGGCTACAGTTATAAATATGCCTCTTTTGACGACGCTGTAACAGCCCTGTTACAATTTGGTCCAGGCTGTTATTTTGCGAAAACAGATATTAATGATGCTTTTAGGATAATACCTATACAACCGAAAGACCATGATCGGTTAGGTATCTTTTTTCAAGGCAATTATTACTATGACACTTGTTTACCAATGGGAGCGTCCAGTTCATGCGCTATATTTGAAGCTTTTAGCTCTTCCTTACAAAGGATTAGCATAACAAAATTGAACATCCCTACCTTAGTTCACATTTTAGATGACTTTTTATTCTTTGGCCACACTTTTAATGAGTGTCAGGGTTATCTTAAAAAATTTCTTGCCTTATGTAATGTCACCGGGGTTCCTATTAAAGACGAGAAAACTGAAAACGCTCGTCAAGTCATAACTTTCATGGGTCTGGAACTGGACTCCATAACTATGGAAGCAAGGTTACCACAAGATAAACTCTTTAAACTCCAAACATTGCTAGCTTTCCATACAGGCCGTAGAAAAATTACTTTAAAAGATCTACAATCTTTGATAGGGTTATTAAATTTCTGTTGCTCAGTAGTTGTTCCGGGACGATGTTTTTTACGTCGTTTAATTGACCTCACAATAAAAGTAACAAATCCTAATCACCATATTACATTGTCGGCTGAAAGCAGACGTGATCTTAAAGCATGGAAATTATTTGTGCAACATTTTAATGGCAAAAATTTAATTTTGGACCAATGTTGGTTGTCAACAGCTGCGTTAGATCTATATACTGACGCAGCAGGTTCCCTTGGTTACGGGGCAATATTTCAAACTAGTTGGTTCTATGGGGTATGGCCAATACCGATGGCAAAGTTTGAAATAACTTTTAAAGAACTATTCCCAATCATACTTGCCTTGGAAATTTGGGGTCCTAGGTTACGTAACAAATGCATTACATTACATTCGGATAACTATGCGGCAGGTCATATTATAAATAAGCAATCTAGCAAAGATTCGAATGTAATGAAACTTGTTCGCCGTATGGTACTGGCATGCATGCAATTCAATATATTAATTCATGCTAAACACATTCCAGGTAAAACTAACAATTTACCTGATTTACTTTCACGTTTACAGGTCAAACAGTTTCAACGGTTGACCCCGCATATGGATGCACTACCAACAGAAGTGCCAGACAACCTGCTTCTTCTTCCCTGAACAATGCTGTTCTCAACATCCTTAACAGTTCTCTAGCCCCTTCTACTCAACTTAGTTATCGTAATGCGGTTAACCAGTATTCTCGTTTTCATAACTCGCATTACTCTCACCACAAACACGGTTTGTTCCCCATTCCAGTCTACAAGTTAGCCCAATTCATTGGGGTATGCCATGATATGGGTCTCAAACCATCCACAATCACATCATTGATATCAGCTTTGTCATATTTCCATCGCATCAACAGATGGAAAAATCCTTGCAAATCATATATCATCCAAAAGCTTTTATACAGCATTAGAAAATCAAGAGTGCCAGACAAACGTCAGGGTTTCACTCTCCCTCTCCTGAAATTAATGATTAAAGCCCTGAAGGAAGTAACATCATGTGCATATGTTCGATTATTGATCAAAACTATGTTTTTAACAGCATTCTATGCTCTGCTGCGGCAAGGCGAAATTTCTGTTACAAAAACAGGAGCGAACAACATTGTCAAACTTGAAAATGTTGCGTTCCAATATGAAGCCGGTAAACTTACTCAAGCTACCATTACCCTTGACCATTTCAAGCATTCTCAAGGCAACATAGCAAAAATTATACTTAGTTGTTCCAAATCAAAGTCACTTTGTCCGGTTAGGACATTATTTAAATATGTTAAAGCTCTCAGCATACGCAAAGGCCCACTTTTTTGTTTCAAAAACGGGGCTCCAGTAAACTCATCCTTTTTCCGACGTATCTTAGGGTCATGTGTCAGGAAATGTCAATTAGACCCACGCAAATACACCACACACTCTTTCCGTATAGGTGGTGCAACCCTAGCCTATGACCGTCATTTTTCCAATGCGCAAATCCAACAATTAGGAAGATGGTCGTCTCAAGCATTTACAAAATATTTAAGGCCAAGTCTTAACCGTAGTGTGGTAACTTAGACTTATCATGCACAAAAAACATATCACCTGGAATAGTCAGGCACCCAATTTTCTCCTTGACTGTCTGAGGCAGCAAGGTTTTGTTTCTACTGTCTGAGGCAGAAAATCAGTTACTCATACTGGTAATTGACCGTCTGAGGCGGCAAATTACATAGAGATACTTGACGGCTTAAGACGGCAAGTACTTCATTTGGCTGTAAACCAGCACTGTTATCGCATCCGATACCACAAATATTGGTTAACATTGCTTTTTATTTATATATTCGTTGTGTAAATTTACTGTAAATAATCATGTTCATTCACCTGTCATAATATTCACCTGCCAGTTTGTATGTGTTCATTCAATACAGGAGCTCGTCTGACTGAGGCAGCGAGCTCCAAGTATTAAGTGTTATAGAATGTTCCAACATTGCTTTTTATTTGTATATTCGTTGTTTGAATTTACTTGTAAATAATCATGTTCATTCACCTGTCATACTATTCACCTGCCAGTTTGTATGTGTTCATTCAATACAGGAGCTCGTCTGACTGATGCAGCGAGCTCCAAGTATTAAAGTATAAATTTTTCAAAGTCATGAGATACTATGTATACTGTTGCTTGTTAAATATCAATGTTCCACATTAGGTAACTTCTATTATTTGACATCTTAGCTCGACTGACTGAGGCAGTGAGCTCAACTTAGATACTTTTAAACTTTTTCAGTTTATTCTGGAAACATATTGTTGTTCATACTCATAAAAAACCATGTTAACTTGTTATATATAGATGTACATTTGGTTTTTGTGTTTCTCTAGGATCAATAGTATAGATATGTGTTAAACCTTACTTTTGTGATTCTTGTACAAGTTTGTTAATTCAGTTTCATACAGAAATGTAAGATTACATTGTTAGCTAACATGCTCATATATATTTAATTCATTAACTTTGAGCTTTCTGCTTTTTAATGGCAGATATTATCATTACACATCTCACTTTCTGTCTCTGTGTATCTGGGCGGCAGACCAGGTTTCCTGGTCTTTTGTGGCGGTTTTCGTCGCCCAGATATTAAAAATTATGTTATATGTAGTTATATTTACTTGTTTGTAGTTATATTTACTTGTTTAAACTTTCATGGCAAATTTATATTTACTAGTTTAAACTTTCTAGGCAAATAAATAAATTTGCCCTTTTTCAATCTACAACCTTGTTACTTTTCTATTTTCCCATACATAGTACACAGGGCCGAAGTTTGGTTGTAAAACAGATGAGATAAATATATTTTATAAACATATAAAATAATTTATAACATTGTTGTACTTTTCGTGAATTGAATTCCCTTCCACTGATATGCTATTTTAGGAATTACCATTAGCCAATCAGAGAGTACAATGTTATCACATGACTTTCTTAACCAATCAAAATCCGGCATCTTCATTCTTAGCCATTATTTTACGAAGGATAATACGCTTATTCATTTTGCTCAACCGCCGCCTCCCTTTTCCTCCACTTCTTATTTCGTTTACTCTCTTTTTGGCTGTTGGTTTTTATTATTTCTTATAATATTTACACCACTTGTTTTTATTACTTCTTATAATTTTGACTCCACTTCTCTTTGTTGTTAAGTCATATATATGAACTTTTTAAATTTTGAGATACAGACAATTATGTTATAAG